ATCGTAGTAAGGAGCCTCCAAAATTAAAATAGTATTGGTAATTATTTAGGCTCCCACATTATTCTAAATCCTAAGCCCTGTACTCTAGATCCAAACCCCTAGGCCAGTTTTTTTTATAGCTTGGGCGGCTTTAGATCACCAAAAACATGAAGGAGTATTCCTCCCATCCTCGTAGGAGCGCGGTCGAAATTTCGAGGTACATTCCCAAACCAAGTGTGGTTGGGCTATCTGTGTGGAGTGTCAACATTCCGGCCTGTGCTATTGTGTACCGTTTTCGTTCCGCTTTTGGCTTTGTAGTTTTGTTGCTTACGATAAAACGATGTCTTGTGCGGGGCAGGCATACTCTTACGGACAGGCCTCGTGTAGTTTGTGTGGGCATATTTTGGAGTTTCCGAAAACTGGGGGTACCTTATTTTGGGGTCCTGATAATATGGATCCTACTAGGGTACTAGATTAGGGTTCCCTATTTTCGGAAATTCCCATTTAGTGAAGCAGTCTATTCGATTCCTGCCTAGCAGCCGACAGGAGCTCCAAACCCTCTACTCAAAGGATCTTGGGACTTAGTATCTAGGGTTATTATTAGGTTAACCATACTTATAACCCCAATTAGTGTATTTATAACCTTACCTACTCAGTCCCATGATCCTCCAAGTAAGCCTTTTTGGCTCAAGAGGTTGCCGGCAAGACTGTAGTTAAAATTAACGCCTTTAGCAATGGGTACCCGTCGTATGCTGCTGGCAATGGTCATCTTGCACATAGTGCGTGGACTTCATTTCGGTTAGAGTGGGTCCGCAAATCAAGAAACGTGCCAGCATACGCCGTGCATGCCTTAATACAAGTATATATATATATATATATATACACATGTATCTACACATGGGTATTTGTATATAGATGCATGTTTGAAAGGGCGTCTAAAATGCGGGACTCCTTGAGTTGTACCAGTCGAGGAAGCCAGGAAGCATCTTTGCGGTGGCATTTCGAGATCCGCCCCGTTTGTGCCAGTGGAGCAGTGTAGGGTCTAGACAGGTCAGGGTTTAGGGTTTGAGGTTTGCAAATTTTGAGGGCCTTCTTGGTTCGGCAGCAGACACACAGAGCATGATGCCGTCCCTTGGGATATGTGCTGAGACGCATGGGTTTCCGCGCTGTGGTTCTGATTATGAACGATTTTGCTGACGATGCCGATGGTGATGGCGAGGCTGGTGGGACAGCTCCTGTGGATGATGGTGACTGGCAGCAGCCATCATGTAAATCCAATGACCCAGACCCTCGCAACCTGTCGTGTGCCTTGAACTTGAAACTTTATGACTCTGTTGAAGCCTTCCCCACATCTCCAGGACATGCAGCAGCGCGTGGAGTTGTTTTTACGAGGCCAACCGTTAAGTCCTTCCAGAAATGAGTTTAGGGCTTTGGAACTGTTCCGTAGCAGGAAGTAATTGCTTGTAGACATTCGTGGTATCATTACCAGCACAGCACTGCTTTGGCTTCTCCAAGGCAAGGGTTTGGGATTCCAAACATGTAAGCAGAGAACAAACGGAGGGGACCTGTTGAGTTGGGGCTCATGGGATAAGGACCCAGGTCGTTAATAGATTCTGGTTTAAGCCGGGTGCGGAGGGTTCGGGACAGAGAGAGACAGTGGTGGGTGGTCCATACTTTCCATGGATTGCGTCAATGTGGTGGAGCTGTCGTGCCCATGCCCTGCACCCATAGTAGATCTGTGACAAAAACTTGTTATGATTGTTTAGGTGCTCCTGCCAAGGGGTTAGGGTTTGGGATATATATATATATATATATATACTTAATATACATGTCAAAGCATCACGGCTTAAAGCCAGGTCTGCAGCTTGGGGGGTGAATGGGTCTCCACGTACCACTCAACATCGTGCTTTTCAGTGCCAGGATTGATGCTGCAGTTTCGTTTTGTGTGTCGTCACCGGCGTTGTGAATCTTGTCGTCTTCGACATCCCAAAAAGACGCTGGGCCCTCCAAGAAGATATACTCAGCTTCCAGTCATAGATGCTCCCGCTCCCTCAAGTGCTGTTCGCATTTGGCAGTTTCAGAAAGCGCTAGACCCTGAACTGAAAAGTATTGTTTTCTTTCAGAGACCTTCACAAGTAGAGCAAATCTTCATCACCCCCTCACTTTCAGATGCCTTCAAAGGCATCCAAGGGAGTTTGGGCAGAGGTCGGTGTACGGAGTCGTCGGTTGGACTTAGGGTGGGGTTTTGGGCATAATCTGTTGCGGCCGTCGTCGTCATTGTCGTTGCGGAGGTAGCATGCATATAGCTGATATGAGACGTCCAAAATAGCAGTTACCGCAACAAACCCGAGACCTAAATGCTAAGCCCTAGACTACTGATCGTAAGCAATGCCCTCACCAAAATTCACGACCCAAAGTCCGCGATGCAATAAAGGTTTAGGGCTTGGCCTTCATTCGGGTTCTGCAGCGAGCCCAATGCAATACCCTTTGATAGTGAAGTGGTTGAAAACTCACGGAGTATCCCAGAATCCCAGGCCATTTGGGTCCCCTAAGCCCTATGCCCCAAACCCTATTTAGATGTTCGTGGGTAGTCATAGGTGGAGTTGTAAGTCCCCTAACATGGGTTAAAACTATAGTCGCCCTACTTATAGTTCCACCTACAACCACCCATGAACCTCCAAGTATCTGCATAAACCCTAAACCCTAAGCTCTATGCCCTAAACCCCATCCCAGTTAACCCTAGGGCTTTTTGGCTTTACTTGCAGCATGACAGCCCCAGAGTCCCACGACGTCAGGCGCCGTGGGGGCTTGCAGAAACCCGTTATGTCTACACATATGTATTAAAAAGTCATGTAAACCCCTTCTTTTAAGGGATTGAAGGTGTGTATATATGTATATATATATATATGTATATATATATATACACACATATGTATGTATGTATGTATGTATGTATGTATGTATGTATGTATGTATGTATGTATGTATGTATGTATGTATGTATGTATGTATTCATGTATGTATTCATGTATAAAAGTCATGTAAACCTCATTTTAGGGATTGAAAGTATATGTATATATGTATATATATGTGTGTACAAGTTATAGCAACCTAAATTTAGGAGTCTAAGGTTTATATACATACATGTACATGAAAAGACCTTAAATCCCTAAACCCCTAAATCCGAAGCCCTAGGTCCAAATATGCACATAAATATATACAGCCTATTTTTAATCCTTAGACCTAGCACCCGGGGCCCCGAATCCGAGATAAAGCCGAAAGCCCGAACCTGCTGCACTAAATCCTGTAGGTTCAGGCAAGATAGCTGCGACAGTCCTGAAGCCGTGTCTAATATAGGGACCGTAATAATGAGAATAGGGCTTGGGGGGCCAGTATACTATAAGTATAATAAGGAACCCCCCAAAATAGTATAGGTAATTATTGAAGCCCCCGATAGTAAACCCTAAACCTTAAACATCCCCATCCGAAGGCCTTTGCCAGTTCTGCCCCTCTGTGAGCTGCATGATCAAGCTGGTGCTCTACGCACGGCCTGCCGGCATCGATTTACTGTGCCTAAACCCTAAACCCTAAACCCTACCCAGAGCCTCCACAACCCCTTAACTAAGGAACATGCCTTAAATCATATCAGGGGTCCTACTATAATTTAAGGTATATTCCTTAATTAAGGGGCTTTGGAGGCTCTGGGTATAGCGACGTCGGATCTAGGGTTGCGGGCGAAGTACGGGTTGTAAGGTTTCAGGCGGTCTCACAAAGTTCGTTTCGACCCTGAATAGGGTTTGGGTTTGGGTTTAGGGTTTAGGGTTTAGGGTTTAGGGTTGAACAATACCCATAGGCCCCAAAGTAGTTCTTTTTTGGGATTACCTAACAGGATTCTAAATATGAACCCCAAAAAGGAGCTACTTTAGTGCCTTAGGGTAAACCCTAATGTCTAAATTTTGGACCCTGCACTCTAAATCCTGAGGCTTTTGGAAGCCGTGACTGCTGGAGTTGGAGGGTCAGGGTTTCGCGGCGGTCCGGGATGAGGGTCGAACCACGACTTCTGCTGTTTGGGGCTTCATGTAGGGGCCTTAACTCTTAGAATAGGGTTTGGAGGTATTATTATACTATAAACATAAGAAGGAACCCCCAAAACCGTGTTCCAATTATCAAGGCCCCTACATCAGGGTTGAGGGAGTTTAGGAAGGTGCGGGTTCCCCTAAACTCGAAACCCTCAACCCTAAACCCTAAACTCTAAACCTTCAACCCGAATTTAAGGATTTCAGATTGCCAGCCCAGAACTGAAATCCGCCGCATCTTCGTAGGATTGAAGGTCGAAGCTTCACCACTATAAGGGCCTTAATGACAAGAATAGGGTTCCTTTATAAAAAACAGGGGGCCTATGAGAGATCTATAATCATACGGTTCTACTAGGATTCTATTCTATAGGGGCCTTGATAATGAAAATAGGGTTTGGGGGCCTATAAACGGGGGCCTATAAGGGATCCATAGTCATACGGTTCTACTAGGATTCTATACTATAGGGGCCTTGATAATTAGAAGAGGTTTTGGGACCCATTATATTATGATAATAAGAAGGAACCCCCAAAATAGTATTGGTAATTAAATTCGGCCCCTGCTTGAAGGCTCATGGGACTTAGTAAGTAAGGCTATAAGTAGGTTATAATTAGGATAACCCCACTTAGGGGACTTATAACCCCAGTTATAACCTACTTACTAAGTCCCATGATCCTCTAAGTAGTACCCGAAACCCTAAACCCTATACTTCCCTTTAAGGAACCCTATAGATCCCTTTAAGGAGCCCTTTAAGAACCCGCACTAAGTCCCATGATCCTCTAAGTATATCAGGATTTCGGGCTGAAGGTCCAGGCTCCAGAGTTGCTGTTGTCGGGGTTTCGTGCGCACTTAGATGCTTGGAATCTTCGAGTTTGGCGCAGCGAGTTTGAGTTGCTCAAGTTTGAAGTCAAGTCTCCCGGACTGTGCGCAAGAGCACGGGCCGTTACATGTCGAGGTTCGAGGTTTCAGCGATGCGCTTTGCTTTCGTTGCCCTGATCTTCGGAGCTCCAGTCAAGTGTGCTCGACCCGCTCTTCAGCAGCAGACGTCAATGGGAGGCACTCTTGAATACGATGATGTGTGTTGCTGCAAGCGGCACACGGAGGTGGGGAAGACGCTCCGAAGGCCCGGACACACAGAGGGCATGGAGCGATCAGATTGCCAGGTGTTGAAGCAGATGAGGCCGGATCGACCCTTCTGGTGGCACTTTGGAACAGAGCCGGGATCCGAGAAACGATGCTGCTGGACGAGCAAGCATAACTGCATGCCTACCATCGGTTTTCTCTCGCTGAACGACGATGGCGGAAGACGAATCGGTGACGAAGAGCGCGACGGCCTTTGCCGGAGCTCTAGAACTCCCGAAGGAGACGTGGAGCCGATCGACAAGACCTTTGCCTTTAACGAGATCATGCAGTCCCTTTACAGCGAAATCGGTGACATGGTTACAAGCAAACTATGTGGGCTGGTATCGGGCGGTCTTGCCGCACACGGCCCAGGGCATATTGGACAATGTGCTCAGGCTCATAGGCAGGCAGGCTCACTCCAGCGAGCCGGCAGAACGGCCATGGGGGAGGCTTTTGAAGGCGCTATTGGCAGCCATCTTTCGTCCAAAACGCACCAGCACATAATGCCCCCCAACGAATGGTTTCAGTACGGTGGCGACAGGCCCCTCGAGGTCGCAAAGTCAGTGCAGGTGTTTAACGGGAAGAAATTCCCAAACATGAAGTATCTGGGCTTTGGAGTACCATACTTTACTACTCTTTTCTTAAGGCAGCCATTATGAAATAAAGGTATATACTGTTTTCTCCCTGGTTACTTAAAAGCCCAGGTATTGGTTCCACCCGGAGCTGAAGGATGGGAAGGCGGTGGTCGTCTTCCAGGATCCCAACACCTACGTGCCTCCGGACAAGCGGCCTCCGACGAGTACTTCCGGGCAGGGTTTCTGCGGGCAGGATGCGACGCACTTTGAGAAGGTCTGCGTCCAGACGAAAGATACCGGCGAGCTCGTATCCTTGACGGTCAATCTTGATCTGGACAAGGAGCTGGATGTGACGGCCGAGGTCCCACTCTAGCCACATGACTCGCTGTTCAACTGGCCGACAGAAAACATGTCTCCTTCATGGCCAGACGTGTAGGTTTAAGCCGCACACCTGATGTCCTAATCCCTGCAAGGCACAGGTTCTGACATGCTACTATAGAGGCCATAGTAATCACCTATACTATTCTGGGGTTCCTTGGTGTAATTCTAGTATAGTGGGTCCCCAAATAGCACCGAGTAAGGTACCTACAGTAACCTTCTAATTTATCCCTCTGTCACCCCGAGCACCAACTCGAATGGCGACAAAAACCCACTAGGACTCATAGGATAGGGGAAATTCAAGATGCAGCCGAAATTGCAGGATCGTTAGTGCATGCATCCCACCCACAACAAGGACCACTTCACGTAATGAGTTTAGGGTTCTACAATATCGGTGTCACACCAAGAGTTCTACAGGTGTCGTTACTGTCCAGGAGGAACATGGGTTTACAAGTTTGAGGGCTCCCAGTTCAGTAGAAGTCTCAAGCTGCAGGACATGGATTGCAGGCGTGTGCAAGATATTTCATGCACTTTTCGTTGAAAAAATCGAACATCTTCATCGCCATCATGGCAAAGCCAGGAGTCATCATCACTACCGCCATTAACATTGTCACGATGATGACCACTATCACCATCATCAGCATACCCGACCATCATCATGATCATCATGATTGTCATGGTCACTCTGATCATCAGCAACAACAGGACCTTAAATCCCAAATCCTGAGCCCTAAACCCGAAACCTTAATGACTAGCTGGCAATTTGGGAAACTTGTTACTTTCCCTTATGGTTCCTATAGAGGTACCTATTCAAAAATATTTTTCAGAGCCCCCAAAAATACAACCCACTAAGCCCTAAACCCTAAACCTTAAACCCCAAATCCTAAGCCTAAACCCTCACCCCAATGATGATGGTCGTAGCCGCCATCATCATCTCCCGGCTCCATTTCCATTCCAAGCCCAGGAAGACTTTAGAAGCGCTGGTCGAGGTGGGGGGCGTTTGCGGGGTTCATGGTCTCATGCCTGGGGTTGGGGGATTTCGAGATTTTGTGAATTTCGGGATTTGGGGTTTAGGGTTTAGCGGTTTAGGCATTTAGGGGTTTCAGGTTCAGGGATGTCGGGTCAGGGTCTAGGGTTGAGGGTAATTTAGGGGGAGCGCGAGCCTGAATCCCTGAAGCCCTTAAACAACTGCACCTGGACGGTCGGGAGCTCGAGCCCCAACCCAACACCACAGGCGTCATGGTTTTAGGGTTTAGGGTTTAGGGTTTTAGGGTTTAGGGTTTAGGGTTTAGGGTTTAGGTTTAGGGTTTAAGCGGGATCTTGTCTCCTTGAATTTCAGGCTGTGCAGCAGCCTAAGCCAAGCCTTATGCTTAAGTTCTGAGACCTCACCTAAATCTATAACCCTCAGCCGCAAACCCCAAGCATACTCATTGCCTGAACCCTAAACCCTAAACCCTGAACATCCCTGAACCTTACTTTTTAGATCCAAACCCTAAACCCAAAACCCTAAACCCTAAACCCTAAAAAAGGCGCCAGCATTGCAACCAAGAGGGCCTCCTACCCTGCCTCTCCGCTCACCTGGAGCCTAACATCTCCCTTAAACCCCCAAACCCTACTTTTTGTAGGTTCTTATTATAAACCCTACTAGGGAATTTAGAGGGACCCTACAAAAAAGTAGGTTTTGGTAGGTTAAGGTCTAAAAGCACTAGCAGCTCCCCTTTTCTATAAGGCCGAAGATCGTAAGTGCGGATTCTGTTTACCTGTGTGTGCATGTGCCCTTGCCATGGTAGAGGTGCGCAGGTTTGTATGCAGTCCGTCGTGTTCACCCTGAACCCCTAAACCTGAAACCCTCAACCCTAAACCCCAAACAACACCCTCAACCCTAAACCCTCAATCCTAAACTCTGAACCCTAAAAAACGCTCTCAACCCTAAACCCGAAAACCTGCACTTCCAGGTCATGGTCCCCATGGTCTTCAGCCGATTCCGATCCCTCAGTTTCGGAAAGGAGAGACGGGGATTAGGGTTTCGCGTTTGAGGGTTTAGGGTTCTGGGTTTGAGGGTTTAGGGTTCAGGGTTTAGGGTTCTGGGTTTGGGGTTTAGGTTGGGGGTGGGGGGGTGGGGGGGCAGATTTCCTTGACTGCTGGTCGCCTCTTACGACTCACAGCTTTTCCCAGCCGTAACATCACGATAGTCATCATCATATTGAGCATCATATCCGTAATCATAGTCACCATCGTCGTCATCAGCATCATCAGCACTGCAATAGCGGAAGTCTCCTGGCGCTCTGCATCCTGCTCCTTTTTTGCTTAACCTCCCATCAGCATCATTGCCATTAGTGCAGGAGTCAGCATGACCAGCAGGGGTGGTAAAGGCCCTGTGGAGGTTGCAAAGGCCACTGACACGCTGTTTGATGCGCAGGAGGATAAGGAGCAACTTAGACAAATGATCACCAATGGTGCGACGCCCTTCATGTCCCTCAGCTGCAATGCTGCAGTGTTTGGTTCAAGTGTTGGGTTCAGGAGGTTTGTGGGTCGTGGGTTGTGGCTTTGGAGTTCAGGTTTAGATTCAGGATTGAACAGACTTAGTTCCTTTGCAGGTTACTGTTGATGGACAAAATTCTGCATGACCCTAAGGACTCTAAACTATGAGGACTATGGTATATTCCTCATAATGGGTAATGCAGGACTTTGTCCATCAACAGTATGGTGTAGGATTTCCGAACTCAGCCGGTTGAGGACGGAGGGCAGGAGTTCATTAGAATTGTCGTGGATGATTTTGATATGGCCTGCTCCGGAGACCTTGTGTTGAAGCGACGGAGCTTTGTAAATGGCCTACAATTGATTTTGCATGCACCTTACCTGCAATAAATTAAGTACCTGGCACGAAAGCCTACAGCACCTGGACCATGTAAAGCGCACGTCTGGCCGTACTTTGCAAATTCCAGATCTCACCGCCCATGGCAGCTAATGGAAGGACACAGAAAACTGCTACTCCTACACTCCTCTTGTTGCTGCTACTACTGCGGCTGAAGCAGCAACGGCGACTGTTGTTGTTACGACTACTATGCATTTTTGTTCTCGCCACAACTAAAGTAAAAGCCAGAAAGTTGGAATATGATTATCCTAAGCCCTGTATGGGAAATTATAAGGTGTCCTACCCTGAAACCATATTCCCACTTTCTGGAGTTCCCTTTAAACCCTTCGTTCCAGTTCATGTCTGAGCCCCAGACCCTCATTCTAAAGCAGTACGCCCGGGAGCATGCACCCCAAGCCACCTGAACCCCGCAGTCGAAGCGAGCTGCACCGGGTTTAGGGGTTTAGGGGTTAGGGTTTGGGGTTTGGGGTTTAGGGTTTAGGGTTTAGGGTTTAGGGTTTGGGGTTTAACGAAGCCACTAAGCCCTAAGCCCCAAGCCTCGTGCCCTAAACCCGCGAGGCACTGCGACGAAGCAGCCATCGCATTGCTCCAGAACCAAAACCATCCGAACGATGCCTTCCCCCAGAAGGACACACGCAATTTCAACGGCGGCAGTTTTTTTTTGCTTTTTTTTTTTTTCGGATTTAGGTTTCGAGGAATTGAAGGTTAGGTTCATTGTTTAGGGCACCTAGACCTGCCAGGACAGTGATGCCAACAAATTGCTGAAACCTTCCCGACATGTCGTGGCAAGGCTCTAGCTTGATTCAATTTGGGGCCTACTTGGAGGTCAAAGGGTTCCTTCAAAGGGGCGAAAACAGGGCCAGTAAGGGATCATTTCAGGGTTTTCAGGGTCATGGGGCTTAGTAGCCAGGGAAATTATTAGGATACAGTAACTAGGGTGCTTATAGCCTTACTTCCTGGGCATTACCAGGTCCCATGATCCTGCAAGTGAATCATGAACCCGAAGCCGTGACACTCTGAACCCCTGAAGATCCCTACACTCTAAACCCTAAACCTGCTTTGACCTCAAACACGTCTTGAAACTTTAAACCGAAGCCCGGACCGCTAGGAGATCGTGGATTTCATCAAGCTCATGACACAGACAGGAGGCTGGCAAGATACGAGTGATCAAAGTAGGAAGGCAAGTAATCTTCAGCATTTAGGGTTAGGCTTTGGGGTTTAGGGTTACCCGGTTACCCTAAACCCCGAAATCCCTAAACCCTAAACCCCTAAACCTTAAATCGGGGTTTAGGGAAAGAAGACCATGTACTCATTCAAAGGACCCTTCAAGGAGCCCTTAAAGGAGCCCTTAAAGGAGCCCTTAAGGGAGCCCGGAAGGGTCTTTTTATAACTTGGGATCTGGCAGCCAACAACCCCGTCGTGTGACGCCGATGACGTGCTTCGTGCTCTGACTTCTGGGTCCGGTAACGGGTATAGGTATATAGGGATGTAGGTATAGATAGTATAGGTTATAGTAAGGTTATAGATATAGCTATAGATGTAGGGTTTGGGGCTTTTAGGTTCAGGGATACAAAAGGCCAGCCAGGAGACTTGTTGCTTACCCTGGAAAGGGCAACGACATGGAAAGAGCAGCAAGATGGCAAGGGCAATGCACCCTTATTACGGGCCTACTCCCGAACACGAATCCCATGGTTTAGGGTTTAGGGTTTAGGACAGAATTCCGAAACTTTTGCGGCTAATGTTCGAACACTCAGCCGGAAGACCCATGATTTATTTGAGGCCCGAGCACATTTTGAGCTCTAAAGGCTCTGCGCGCCGTTACACTTGGCTCCAATCCCAATCCTCCCAACAAATTCTAAGCCTTGCGCTTGATCCTGAGTGTTAACCTTAACCCCCAACCTTACTATACGTACCTTACTACAAACGCCAAAAAAGCTACCTCCCAGAGGTTTGTCCAGGGTTCGGATATCATGGTTAGGGCTGGGCAAATGCTTGGGACATCTAGGGGCTTGAGTAGTAGAAGATGGCTTCGGGGCATATTTTGCTATAATTCTCAATTCTAAAAGGAACATAGATTAATAGCCGGACAGAAACCTCGACAGATCCTGCGGGCTTGAGTCGCCCACCCGGAGAACCCGAAACCCTCAAACCTATGCCCTAAGCCAAAAGCCCTACACCTAAACCTCTACGTCCGAAAACCTGATGCCTCAGTTCTCGCGAATTTAGCGCAAATGCAAAGCCCCGCAGCGTTGAGGGGTTGAAGGATTAGATGTGCCAGTCTTCGTTTAGCGGCAAGATTTGGTTGCGAGAGCTTTAGTTTAACATGCAGAAACTGAACTCACGGTCCTGAGCGCCGTGCTGTGTGAGGCACCGTCCGTCCAGCCGGACCACAGCTGCCACTCTGCCGCAAGAAGACGAAACAGCAATAACCATAGTAGACAAAACAATGATAATCCTAGTAACCAAGTAGAAATAACGATACTTGTAAGAATGACATCTCTAGTATAAATACCAACAATAATAATACTAACACCAAGCGTAAGAGTAGCAGTAATAACAAGACTAAAAAGAAGGCTAGGACGAAGACGAAGATTAAGACTAGGAGTTATAGTAAGGATTACAGTAGACATCATCAGAAAAAGAAGAAGAATCACAATATTAATACTAATGATACTTGTAATACTAGTAGTACTACTCATGGTACTACTGTTGCCAGTATTCATAACGCTAGTACCATTAAAAATAACAGTCATCACGATGTGGGAGTTTCCGAAAATACGGGGTACCTTATTTTGGGGTCCTTATAATAAGGATCCTACCATCTAGGGTACTCTTTTAGGGTCCCCTATTTTCGGAAACCCCCATGTTGATAAGCAATAAAAGTACAACAGCATCAATTATGTCGGCCCTTGAGCAAGAGATGCGAAGCCTAGGGCCCGAACAGCTCCAATGCTTCAGTCCCAAACCCCTCAAAATCCCAAACAGGGTTTAGGCTTTAGGGTTTAGGGTTTAGGCTTTAGGGTTCAGGGTTTAGGCTTTAGGGTTTAGGGTTTAGGCTTTAGGGTTTAGGGTTCAGGGTTCAGAGTTCAGGGTTTAGGGTTTAGGGTTTCACCCAGCATAGTACCGTTTTAGAGCAACCCTTATAAAAAGTGCCCTCATAGTCCCTAAACCAAAGCAAATCTCGAAGCCATGAGGCAGAATGCAGCACGTCGTTGGCTGGTGCGCCACTGGGCTGCAAAATGTCCGGCGACGGGGCTCTTGGGGGGTTCAGGGGGTTTAGGGTTTTCGGAGGGCACAGAACACCTGAAACTGTAGCGGGCAATGAGAGGCTTCCCTTTAAAGGGTGCTCTAGGGCTCGATAGCAGGGTTCCCTTTAAGGGAATCGAAGACCCAGTAATCCCTACTTGGAGGCTTGGTAAGTAGGTAGTAAGTAGACTGATACGTACCCTAAAAGGGACCCGAATTGGGGTTTTGGTACTTATAAGTCCTTAAAATAACCAGTTGCTAAGTCCCCCGACCTTCCAAGTAATCCCTAAACTCGAGGCTACTACGGGCGCCCAGTGGACCGCCCGATGGAGAGAAAGGCCCGCCTTGTCTCTTCGGGCCTCGGATTCAGGGTTCCTTAGGGGTACCTAGAAATACTTTTTAATTTTTGGTTATTATAAACCCTACGAAACAGCTAAAGTTATAATTTTTTGCTGGGGTTCTAAGTTCAATAAGTTCAGTATAGATTCAGGGTTTCAGGGTTTATGGGTTAGGGGTTTAAGGTTTAGGGGTTCAGGGTTTAGGGTTCAGGGGTTTAGGGTTTAGGGGTTCAGGGTTTAGGGTTTCGGGGTTTAGGGGTTAGGGGTTTAAGGTTTAGGGGTTAGGGGTTCAGGGTTTAGGGTTTCGGGGTTAAGGGGTCAGGGTTCAGGGTTTCAGGGTTCATGGGTCAGGGGTTTAGTGGCTGGGGGTTCAGGGTTTAGGGTGTAGGGGTTAGGGGTTTAGGGTTTAGGGGTTTCGGGTTTAGGGTTTAGGGAGTCTTGGGTTTTGGTGGGTTTTCAGCCACATGATTTTGAGGAGTTTCGGCTTTTGGGCAGGTTAAAGTTTATACTTGCAGCGGTTTGGGGTTTTAACATTTAGCTCATGGACCTATAGGAGAGGGAAGGTAACTCAACCTGCGCACCTGCACCCCAAACCCTAAACTCGAATCGGAAAGGACTTGAGGATGTACGGTTTAGCATCTCTTGGCTAGATCGGCTAGATTCTAGATCTTCCTGGACTAGTTGTTCTTCGGGCGGTTGTTTGGGGTAAGAGATTGTGGGAGCATTCTGCGTTAGTGCAGAGGGCAATGGTGTGGAAGCGGCTTGCGCTCTTGGCATGAGAACGGTTTTCCAAGCTTTCGGTATTTAAGCTTATAGATGATCTGGAAGGGGTTCATGATGCTGCTTTTGTGGCAAATCAGGGGATCATGAAGTTCCAGACGGCTATCTCGCACACCTGACCGCTTCTGAAGCCAACCTCTAAATCAGAGGCTCAGTCTTATGGGGAGCCTAAACCCTAAAGCCAACGACCCTAATATCTCAACCTAAACCCAACACCCCGAGCCAGGAAGACAAGATGTCTCTCAGCGAAATGTCGCGAACCGAGTACCAGGCCACGGTGGGAGTTTGAGGGCACAGATGTGGGTTCTGCTTCGCGGTCTTTAGGGCTTTGGGGTGTAGTTTAGAGGCTGGAGAAACGAATAATAATCGTATTTAGCTCCTAAGCAGTCCGTACATAAGCGTAGCTTAAATTACTTCAAAGCCCGATTCCAATGTTCAAAGGCTCCTGTATTTGGGTCTGGGTGGGATACTTCCAGTGCCGTCGAGTTTCGGGCTCAAGCTTCGGAGTTTGGGAATTGGTGCCTGAATGGGTCCCAGAAAAGCTTCAATATTCCCAGCTATAGGGAGGGTATGTCTATAGTTCATACGGGTAGCATGCTGTACTTTTGAGTAGTCTTTTCTTTTTTTGGACATTCGGATCCTTGTGGAATTGTTGGAACACGCTCCGGCCAAGGCGCCTCAGATACCAAGAAACCCTAGCCGGATAACCCACACTTACAGGATCATGGGACTTAGGAACTAGGGTTATTATTGGGGTAACTATACTTATAACTACTTATAACCCCAATTAAGGTACTTATAACCTTATTTCCTAAGTCCCATAATCCACAGCCTCCCGTCCTCATGTCCGAGCCGCCTACCCTGAGACTTCCGCTTTAGGATCAATCGGATAGGATGCGCAACACGTAGATTCCTAGGATGCCCAGTAGTACCCTTATTCCCTTTTTGTAGTCCTAGGTTCCTTATAAAGTTACACAATACCAAAAAGAGAGGCCTTTTTATTCTTAGGTTACTAGGTATCTTAGATTCTGTTGCAAGAATCATCACAGGCTTCGGGAAGATGTACAACCCCAGAGTCTGCAACTTGCAAGGCATGCACTTCGAAAGCCGCCGATGCCCTTCTTGAATCCCACATTAATCGAAACCGAAGCCATAAACTCACACCCAACTCCCTAACCCTCAATCCTAAATTCAAGACCGAGACCCCAAATCCCGCTAGCTAAGGGATCATGAATCCCGGACCAGTTTCGTAGGGCTAGGGTGGCCAGGGTTTCAATTCCTACAGCGCTCCGTATTCAGGAATATGCCTTCAACCGGGGTACTCCCGCGATTGAAGGATTTAAGGAGTACTCTTACTGGGTATAGCACTTGGGACACAAACAGAAAAGCCTTGTCTGCCCAAGTGCAGAGAGTTAAAACCCTAAGCCCTAAACCGACAGGTCATGAAGAAAGAGGTGCGGGAAGCCATGCGCAACGCCATAGGCGGATGGCACCTGATCTTGGATTTGCCCTGCTTTAAGATGGAGGAGGCCGGGTACGAGACCCGGTGGTAGGGTTTAGTGAAATTTAGGGTTTAGGGTGGCGCTGAGGTGTGTTGGGATTCGTTGAGGAAGTCGAATTAAGGCCTAAGGCTCAACCCCCTAAGCCCCGAACCAGGACCCTAAACCCTCAACTCCTAAACCCCTAAACCCTTAATTAAGCCCCTAAACCCTCAACCATAAATCCTAGAGTGTGAAAGCGTAGTGTGCGCCGTGTTGCGGGTGGTTTCGGATTTGGGTTCAGGTTAATGTAGGAACCTGATTAAGAGACGCTGGGCCTATGACCCCAAAATAGTAGGAATCATATGAGGAACCCTTATAAAGGCCCAAGGTTTCTTAATCAGGTTCCTACATTAAGGGCTCTATTGCGGTCCCCTTGGTTCGGGGAACTGTCTGGCCGCCTGTCTGCGAGAATCACCCTAAACCTTTCAAAGGTGATCCCTACACCCCAAACCCTAAACTCTAACCCCTTAAGCCCTAAGCTAAATGCTTCAATCTATAAGATCCTTAAACCCCTAACACCTTGGTTCTGTAGCTCTTGAAACCCTTGAACCTTGAAGTTGCCAGGAATTATTGTCAATACTTTGGGGTTTAGGGTTTAGGGTTTAGGGTTTCCCTTACAATCCTTTTGCCATTGTAGCATAATTGGCCTCAGCCCTCTATGCCACCCCTTTTTTTGAAACCTGTATGGCTTAGAGGTCCCTATGTTACGCCACCTTTATAGATCCCTGTAGAAACCCTCATAGAACCTTTGAAGAGGGTCCATATACACTACGACTGTTGAGCCAGAACGCCAAAACCATATTTCATTCCATAATGGTAGTATATATTGGGACCCTCTAGGAATCAAAGCCTCCAGCAGTCCTCGAGTCCACCAAATCCCGAACCGATGTGTTCCCAGAGAGTTTTGGGCTTAGCGTCTCCTGTTAAGGGGTTTAGGGTTGAGGGGCCGCACCCCTGGATAAATAAATATGGCTGACTTACAGAGCGAAGCTTGAAGTTTCCACGAGGAGACCGTCCGGAATCTCCTCTTCGAGCTTTCACAGTCTTACTTCTTCAAGGATCAAGACCCAATGTCCCTTGGTGACAGGTTTCTATAAGGGTTTTGGTTGGGTTTAGGGCTCTGGGTTTGCGGTGTTGGGGGTTTAGGGTTGAACCCTGGGCCCTCCACCTTGATATAGGGGCCTTAATAATTAGAATAGGGTTTTGGGGCCCATTATACTATAAATATATCAGGAACCACCAAGATAGTATAGGTAATTATTAAGGCCCTATTATTGCACACCTCAACGCGAAATCATGAACCCAGTGTTCTTGAGGGTTGGCATGGTTGTGCAAGAGGCTTTCTAGCGTTTGCTGTGAGGCTGGTGTTTTGAGGTGCTAGGTGTTCTAACGCGTTTCGGCGGAAAAGGGTTCAGGGTCCATGGTTATGAAAACCACCATAAGAACCCCTTTAGGAACCTTCCCGGTTTAGGTTCAAAGGTCTGGGGCCAGCAGTTTGTGCTCTTGGGGCGTACGGCTTCGACCCTCAGCCCTCAAATACTGCCCTACAGCGCGCCGTTATCGTGACCCTCATAGTACCCGTATAGTACCTCTATAGTGAGCCTGATAGTGTACCCCTAAACGCCCCTTAGCCTCAAACCCGGGACCCGAAGCTTCAACAGAGGATAGTTCATGTTGTCCTCAAGTCGGCTTCTGAAAAGGGGAAGGTTCTTGAAGGGTCCGGTTACGTGCTGGAGCACGTTCAACGTCACAAGGAAAGAAGACCGGGGTGCCATCGAAGAATAGAATTCCGACGGGCATATTATAGAACCCTACTATAGATCCCTTATAGAGCCCTTTAAGGGGCCCTCTAAAGGAGCCCTATTCTAATTATTAAGGCCCTCTAGTAATATGGGCGTGAAATCAACCCCATGGCCGTGGATGTGCACCCCATAAGCCCCAGCAGAGCGGGCAGGTGGATGACTGGGCTCTTCTTAAGGAACTATGTACTTAAGTTATGGGTTTAGGGTTTAGGGTTTAGGGGTTTAGGGTTTAGGGTTTAGGGTTTAAGATCTTAAGTTGCCATAACAAGCACACCACATGATTTACTATAGGTTCCAGTGATGGTAATTAGTTAACCAAGCAAACCACGTGATTTACTATAGCTCTCAATTATGGTAGCTAGTTAACTTAAAAATTTCGCTCCTCAAATAGAGCACGGATGAGGTGTGACAGGCCAAAGAGGACGCAGAGAGGAGCTCCATGCTCTAAATCGAAGCCGCCTGCCCCCCGAAACGGATCTCCAACACATGGGTGGCCCTCTGAAAGTTTTTCTTTTTAATAAGGATGCCGTACTAAATTGGGAATTTAAACAGGGTATCCGAATTTAGAGAACCACCCACACGGTCTCTCTTTTCTAGGAGCCTTTCTCGCCCAAAGGCGTATCAGCCCAACATGGCCCAACACCGTAAGCAGCGCAGCATCAACTTTGGAACATCCTTTTCCATCAGCCTTGGCTCCCCGACGTTCTGGAGACCACTGTTTTTCAACCCCCTAGGTTGGTCTTGGATTGCATCCTCGAACTGGAGAATGTCATTGCGGACAACATGAGGGTTTGGCAGCTGGAGGTTCGTGCTTAGTGTAGGACTGAGGGCTTGCGGCGTGGGGCTTTCCCGGTGAAGTATTCCGGTTTAAGGGCCCTGAGCACAAAATCCTAAGAACTCCATTTCAAGGGCGAGCATTCAAAATTCACTTCCCAGACCCTAAACCCTAACTCATTTTTCTTGGTACGGGCCTGAGGGGCGGGGTTTTCGGGGAGTGAAGCTGACGGTTGAGGGGTTGCAGGGCGTTGGGGTTCGGGGTTTGGGGTTCAGGGTTTTAGGCACAGCGCCGGTTTAGGGTTTGGGGTTCGGGTTTTAGGGTTTGGTTTCAGGTTTGGGGGTGGGGTTAAGGACTAGGGTTTAGGGTATAGGTTCAGGGTTCAGGGTGTGAGTTGGTTTAGGGTTGAGGATTTAGGGGTTCAGGGTTTAGGGGTTTAGGGTTCAGGGTTCAGGGTTTGAGTTGGTCTAGGGCTTGGCGGGTGCGAGAGGGTCAGGCGCGGCGAGGGGAAGCCTCTGCAGCTCCTATCCTCACGATTTTCAAGCGCATCGTAGGGCCAGAGGTTGCTTCCTAAATTACTTGAATCTGGAGTTGGAGTTGATGAATGCATGCGCGATAAGCATCAATCGCGAGACCGCCCAAATCCAAGCTTCTCGCAACCAATATGAAATACAGAGGATCAGCTATCAAATCCGCAAGCCTATAAGCGCTGAAAGCGCACAGTTTTGCTCCTTCATGCCGCTTAAACGGCCCTAAGCCCCAAACCCTAAACCCCAAACCCCAAACCCTAAGCCCTGAACCCTAAACCCGAGAACCCGAAGATTCTCAAACAGGGGCCAAATGCCGCAACCCACAAGGTTTTCAGATGTAGGGTTGGGGTTTAGGGTGTTTACAATAGAAGCCAGCTCTTAAGAGTAATGTATAGGGAATCCCAGCGCTATTTGGCCTTCATCCGGTTTCCACCTTTATGGAGTTTACTGTAGGGCTCAGGGGGTTTGAGGCTTTAGGATTCAGGGTCAGGGGTAAAGCCCTCAACGCCCACATGCAGGTGGAGATCCAGAGAATCGCTATCAAGTGTGTCCGCGACGCTCAAGATGCTTCGGACTCTCGGTGCTTAATACCCTGTCAACGCACGGTTTAGGGTTCCCGAGGGGCCCACACTCAACGCCCCGACGGCAAAGAATCTACCAGAAACTATAGACGGCTTAATGTCACGACTTAATAATTAGGGTGTCTGTACTGACACGAAACCCTGAACACTCCCTAGTTAAACAGTATAGGCAATCGATCGGAGAGAGAGGACCAGTAGAGGCTGCTGTCCTTCTCGACATACCCCTGTCATGTGGGGACCTTAACAATTGGAACAGGGTTGTGGAGCCCATTGTGCCATAAATAAGGAAACCCAAAATGGTGTTGGTATTAAGTTAGGCCCATATAGTAGTACTCTTTCTGGGTTTAGGATTTAGGATTCGGGTTTGGGGTTTAGGGTTTTAAGGAGGATTTGGTTTTTTCAGGTCCTCCACTACGACCCTTCTGCCCTTTTCACTAGGGGGCTCCCCTCATTCATTCAAGCTGCGCAGGAAGAAAGGGTTGTTGAGGAAGCTAGCATCTGACCCGGGGGGTGTAGATTAGGTTTTAGGGTTCAGGGTTCAGGGTTTAGGGATTTAGGGTTTGGGGTTTTGGGTTTAGGGTTTAGGGCCGGGTTTAGTTGGGGTTTAGGGTTTAGGGCCTTCTTCATGAGGGTGCCGTACTAACGGAAAGGCCCATGTGGTATTTGGGAGCTTCTTGCACTCGAGGGCAGAAGGGTTGTCGTGGGATTCATGGGGTGCAAGACGGCTTCCGCAGAGGCGAAAATGCACAGTCTGGTTCGGTTACACGGTTTCCCAGTCCCTCCAAGTGCGAGGGGCGACTGCGCTGGCATGCCTCGTCCGATTCGAGGCTATCTATGCGCTGCGCTCCGATGCGCGTTTTGCACGGGCGCACTGCACTAACACGGTCTACAGGGCCTCGCTCTTCCTTGAGAGCCACGGCGCGGTCGTGGCCGAGGCGGCAGGAAGCTGCAGGGCTCGCAGATGCTCGTCTGGAGACTGTACGAATTGCAAAACTGCAAGGTCTGTGGCCAGCAGTGGATCCACTCGCTCCATGCCGGAATGGGCCTCAGGTGGCGATGGAGTCGAGCCGCAGGTTATTGTTTTAGCCACCCTGCATCATGCAAATGATTGAATTGCTGCACGCCTGGCATCTATGTCGCGGCTGCGATGTAAGGGCGGTGTGGCGCTCATTCACCCCCAAAACCCTAAACCCTCAACCCCTAAAACCCTGAGGCCCTAAACCCTGAACCCGAAAACCCTAAACCCTAAACCCTCGTCCCTCCACTCTAAACCCTCCCTAATATAGGGGCTTCAATAATTACCTATACTATTTTGTGGTTCCTGATTATAGCATGGTATAATGGCCCCAAAACCCTATTTAATTAGTAGGGTCCCTATATTACAGGTTTTGGGGCGGCATCTTGCGACTGTCCCAGGGCTTGCTAAGTCCTCAGTGCCCTGAGAAATCCTCTCCCGTAGCCATCCTAAGCCCCAGACATTAAACCAGAATCTCTAAACCCTAAACCCTAAATTGGAAACCCTAAGCTCTAAAAAAATAAGCCTTAAACCCTAAATTCTAAACCCTAAACTCTAAACCCTAAACCTTAATATCTAAAACCTAAACTCTAAACCCTGAACCCTGGACATCAACCCCGCACAGCTCCGGAGGCTGGAGGCTACTTGGAGGATCATAGGACTTAGTAAGTAAGGTTTAGGGTTTAGGGTTTAGGATTTATAGGGTTTAGGGTTTAGGATTTAAGGTTTAGGGTTTAGGGTTTAGGGTTATAACGAGTTGGGGTTATAAGTTATAGGTATAATTGCGTTAACAGTGTTTTATTGCTCTTTGTACGTATGACTACGGACATATTGTTGCTTGGCTCAAGACAAAAAGCGTGTGTGCGATTCGTGCTATCGTGCACTATCTATAGGTTATCAGCCGTAGCCTAGTCGAGCCATATCCTTTTCCAGGTCGCTCCTGAAATCCTGCAGGTAACACCGGAATGGAGGACACAGCCGAGCCAGTGCCAACGGGTATCTCAGATATGACATTGGCAACTGATGAAGCAAGTGATCAAGGATTTCCTCCATTAATGCCAACAGGTGATAGTCATTTGCCGAATGACGGACTGGCAATCATGTCACATGATGCAGCGTACTCTCCGATTGATTCGTTGCTTAGAGAACGTGTCCCTACTACGCCAGGATCTATTGCACCTGTTACTCCGGTAGGAATACCTGGACCATTGGCTCATGCTACGGGCGTGCCCAGCCCATCAACACCAATTTACTCACCTCATCTTCATCAAACAAGCCTCACCCAGAACCTTCAGGTTGTCGATGCCAGGCAGTTGACGATTAATCAGGATGCATCTCCGATGGTCGCCTTTGCCGCCGAGGCACGACACAATCAGATTATCGGCGAATTGGGAGCAGAACATCAGGAGCAGCTCCGTGCAATGTACAATAGTGGGCTTGCCGAGGTGAACAAGTTGAGGAACGAATTAGGCAATGCCAACATTGCGTTGTCGATTCAGAGGTCTGAAATGGGTCAAGGTGAAGTTCGTTTCCAGCAAACCGAAAGCGCGAGGGAACTCGCTGTCCTTGAAGCCAACCGGCAAGCGGAAGCTGCCCGTAGAGCTTTAGAGGAAGCAAACAGCAATGCCAGGCGCCTTCGCGAAGTGGAAACTTCTGCCCGTCAGAATGATGCGATGCGATCCCATGAGGTCGCTGACATGTCATCTCGGATGGATGAACTGATGAGGCAGCTTCACGCCCAGCGTCAGCAGACTGAGGTATTGATTCAGCAGAATAGCGCATTAAGCTCCAGGGTTCGAGATTTCGAAGCTAGAGATGCTGCTTTGAGGATTCAAGAGGGAATTCCACAAGGGCCTCCACCCGGCATTCCCGTACATCCCATTTCCACCCCGAAGCATGGAGGTGACACTCCTACGGAACAGGCGAGATGGCTCCAGCCCAGGTGGCGGTGGTGGTGGCGGTGGGCCTGATGGCAACGGCCCCAGTGGAGGCGATGATGATCATGATCGTCGCAGTCGGAAGTCCAAGAAGGATAAGAAGCATAAGAAGAAGAAGTCGCGCAGGCGACGTAGGCGAGATCCTTCGTCTTCCCCATCTAGCTCTAGCAGTAGCTCCGGTGATTCGAGTTCTTCATCATCCCGCATTGATAAGAAGACAATGAAGAAGCTCCTTAAGCGGATGAGTGAAGCTGTTGGTGACCGTGGTGAAAAGCCCGAAAAAGACGACAAGCCCAAAGTGAAAGAAGCTGAGAAGATTACCTTCCCCAAGTTCCCGCAGCCTGAGAGCTACAGGAATTGGAGGCTAAGGGTTCGTGAAGCGGTCGTTGCCGCATCCGATCGTCCCGATGATGCCTTTTCGTGGCTTTCCAAGGTTTGGGAGAAAGACGTCAAGGAAGAAGATCTTCACGACCCGGAAGGGTTCGTCACTTTGGATGCCAAGGTACTGTCGGCGGTCACTAACATCCTGGAAGGTGCCTTTGCGAGACAGGTCGATACCTTCAAGGAGCGAGAGGCGAATGCCGGGAGACTTGTTCGGGGACGACAAGTGCTTTTCAAGTTGGATAATTTCTTTTCTACCAACGCACAGCATGGTTCAGTTTACGAGTTCGAGGATCTCTTGTCAGTCAAGATGGTCAACGAGAAGCTTGAGACGTTCATGCATAACTGGGAAACTGTATTGTCAGGGATCCAGACTACCCCCGATGAGAACTTCCTTGAGCCCTTGTTCCATAGGCAGATTAAGCGCTTCAAAGACCTCGCACATGATATCAACATCTATGAAAGGGCTACACCAGGGCAGCCGGAGAAGACCTACAAGTTTTTGTATGATGCGGCTACGAACTACTTGAGTCGCAAGCGTCTTGAACGCAACCGGGAACGGATTGCCAAGCAATATGGTGCTGATGGGAAACCATCCGCCCCCGCTCCCAAGAAGAAGTTTGTCCCCAAGGGATTTTGTTTTGAGTTCGTACAGAACGGTAAGTGTAGCAAAGGAGACAAGTGCAAGTACAAGCATGAGGTCCCTGAGAAGAGAGGCCGGTCGCATTCAAGAGGTGGAGGCCGCACTCGTTCACCATCCGGCAACAACAATGACGGAAAGCCCAGAGAATGCAAGTTCTGGAAGAGTGGACGATGCAAGAAAGGAAGTGCGTGCACGTTCCTCCACACAGGCAAGCCAAGCGCTGCTGCGACGTCACAGGGCGGCTCTCAGGGGGGAAGGCCAGGAAGCGCAGGCAGCAAGGGGAAAGACAAGAAAGGCCATCGTAAGTCGCGGTCCAACTCGAAGGGCTCTCAAGGGTCGAAGAACTCTAAGGGCAGCAAGGGTTCGGACAAGCGAAAGGGTCCTAAGTCACCAAAGGTCCCCGCTGCAGTCTGCATCCTAGGGGCATTGATCGCCGCGGCATCGGGTACCCAAGCCGACGCTGCTTATGCATTCCGGAAGGATATGCCCGATAGTCGTGGTGACATGCCATCTACCTTTTCATGTGCGTTGCCAGCTATTCGTTTTGACGATAATCCGATGCTCATCAACATTCCACCTGACGGAAAGATGTTGCCGACAGAACCCGAGACACGGAGGTACTTGAAGTCCTTCGGTGGGGAACCTCCTAGACCCAGTCAACAGGATGTCAAAGATGCACTGACGACTGCCAGGATGCTTAAAGCAACTCTGGATGCATATGGTTCCGGGATAAGGGCTAAGTGCGGTTATGAATGTGACACGGAATTCGGTTGCGACAAGTGCATTCCGAAACACATTGAAGCTACCTGTGTTGCAGCTACCAAAGCGGAAGCCCAGCAGCTCGACATCGAGTGGATCGCGGATACCGGCAGCGCCCAGGACCTGGTGTCACAGGGGGATCTCGGATCTTTGAGAAGCCATCGTTCCCAAAACCCTATCGGTATTGTGACGGCTAGCGGGCCTAGCACTGCTGAGATTCAGTCCAACATCGCAGTTCCTTCACTGGGAATTGACAGCCATCCATATGTGTTGCCTAGCACACCTTCTGTTCTATCCGTTGGTTACAGGTGCATGGAGGAGGGATTCGATTTCGTTTGGAGATCGGGTACAAGACCTTACTTTCAGTCATCTAGCGGTGAGCGGATATATATGGATGTGAAGGATTACGTCCCCTACCTCAAATCGTGGAAGGAAGGTGTGGCGGTACCTGCGAGGCGGAAGCCCCAGCCCAATGAGGACCATAAGAATGATCTGGTTCTTTCGCTTGAAGAGGCTGAGGGATATGCAAGGGAACTTCGGATCAACGGCGACTTTCGTCTGGGATCATGTTACAAACTTTTGAAATTGACACCATTCAAGTCTACAGGGAATTCGAGGAGAATGAAAGCTACTGAGAACGACGACTCGGTTGAAGATGAAGTTGGCAGGGACTACATCATCATCGGCGCTTGGGTTTTCAGCGGGATGACCGGGATCACAAATTCTGTAGATCGTCATGCTCAGCTGACCAAGTACCTGATCGCCTTCATGAAGTCAAGAGGGTTGAAAGATACCTTTACGTCCATCTGCATCAACCATGGTGGCAATCGCCGGGTGCATCGAGACTTGTTGAATCATGATAACTCGCTCAATCACACTCTAGGCGTTGGAAGCTATCAAGGTGGTTCCGTATGGGTTGAGCGGAAGGACGACTTTCCCGTATTTCGCAGAGAAGGTGTAGCTGGTGGGAAATCAAAGTGCGTCAAGGTTACGGGGGGACTCGAAGTCGACGGAAGAGTATATGACACTCATGATCGAATGTTATCCTTCCACCCCAAGCTTTGGCATCAGGCACAGCCTTGGACAGGTGATCGATGGACCATCACTGCATACACGATTCGGGATGTAGACGGTTTGAGCTGGGAACAGTCAAGGTCGCTAATGTCGCTTGGGTTTCAGTTGAATTCGTCAAGACGGTTACCATTTGTTCCATCATTGATTACCGGCGACAGCGATGAAGAGCTCACACTTTACGACTTCGTGAAGAAGAAGAAGGCCGAAGCCGAGAAAGATAAGGTTCCTGAACCAGCTCCTCCCTTGATGAAGAGTAAGGCTAAGTCTAAGCCCAGCAAGCCTGATGCCGGGCGGAAGCCTGAGCCCGAGCCTGAGAAGGGTGCAGACATGTCTGATCTTTTTGATATTGAGGAGCATTTTGATGAAGCCGGGGAGTTGAAAAGTGCCGAGGATCAGCCACCTCCACCTCCTGTTCCCGCTGAGGCAGATAAGCGTTCTAAAGGAGAGAAGGTTTTACGTGAAGAAGCTAAGAGCAAACATCATCTGATGACTCACGTCCCAAAGAATCCCTTTTGCCCTACATGCCAAAGAGCGAAGATGTTCAAACCGCCTTCGTATCAAACGAATGGTTCCAGGTTCATTGAGTCTGAGAAATTCGGCGACCATCTCACTGGGGATCATCTCATTGTCTATCGCGACAACGAAGAAGAGATTAAGGATTCGCGATTAGCTTTGGTTATGAAGGACGTGGCAACGGGTTTCCTCGCGGCCTATCCCTCCGGACGGAAGTCTCAGGACGAGTGCTACAAGGCGCTCAACCATTTTGTTGCTAACAATGAAGATGTTGGCATCTTCTACAGTGATAATGCTCCTGAAATCAATGGGGCAGTAGAAGAAATGGGCTGGAAGCATGAACATTCTAAGGCCTATATCCATCAGTCCAATGCCATGGCTGAGCGTGCGATCAGGACTGTTACGGAAGGCACCAGAGCGAATCTGGAGCAAGCTGGTCTGGCTCATGCTTATTGGCCTCATGCCTTACAACATGCTTGTGTTGCCCATAACATAAGCCATCCCAATGGTACGAAGTACTCTTCATGGACTTTGCGGTTCGGCAAGGACTTTCATGGGCCGTTGATTCCATTTGGTTGCCGAGTAGACTACTGGGTCGGTACTCGAGAACAGCGGAAGCTGCAAGGGTACGAAAGATTTGAGAGTTCATCAGAACATGGGATCTTCATGGGTTATCACTTCCAACCAGGAATGCGTTGGCGTGAAGAGATGTTGGTAATTCCGATATCTAAGCTGAATGGAAGTGACTTCTACGAGTACCACAAGCCTATTAAGGTGCATCAATTGAAAATGCCTGACGGTGAGTTCACTTTCCCCATGGTCGACCGTTATAACCGTGTCCGAGACGGGCTAGCGCATGACGCCATTGAAAAGCCTGTCGTTGAATCTCTGAGAAATCAAGATGCGGAACCAGTCGTAGATCCTCCTGGGGACGGTGAGGCCGAAGTAGAAGTACCTAAAGTTATTGATCCCAAATCAGGTGACCTCGTTGAGTTGCCCGAAGGCGGACGCTTCTATGACTCCGGTGGAACTCTTGGTAGGAGATATGGAGGGTCCAGAGGTTCAAAGAAGCCGGATAGCATTCCTTCTCATATATGGGTCAATTTGTCCAAGAGGCAGAAAGATAAGGCGATAGCGGAAGAAGCATCGAAGATCGCTAGGGAATATCATGAAGGTGCCGATCGAGCAGGTGGCGGATCATCGAGTTCAAGGCCTGCTGCGACGCTTGGTGCGTCCCGAGATCGATGGGAGATCAAGGGAAACAAGTTAGTGCGGTATCATTGTGTTCCTAGACGAGAACTTTTCTCTCCTGATATCACCGATTGTCCCATTCCCACTTCTAGGATAAAGCCGACAAGGATCTTGCAGATCATCCCCGTGGGGACGGAGGACACTGTTGCTGATGAAGATGATTGGACAAACCCGCGGAGAAGGAACAAGAAATTGCCTTTTAGATGGACCGGCAAAACCATCTTTGAGATCCTACCCTTGGGTACTAGCAGTGCTCATATCGTGGGGGAACCCTATCCGACTATGCCAACTATCCCACGTAGTGGGGAACATCGCGAAAAGATTGGTAATGACCATCAGTTCACCCAATCTGAGCTGGAAGTTATGATGGCCTTAGTGGCTCGTCCGGTTGGCAAGAAGGAGCTCGCGGAGAACAGTGATGCCCAGAAATCACTTGATGTGGAATGGGATAAGTTGATGCAAAAGCGAGCATGGGATATGGACAACCCACGGGAGTGGTCAGAGATCTCGGCGGAAGCCGTTAGACGGGGTCGCAAGGCCCATGTTGGACGTGTTTTCGAAATCTGTGTAGAGAAAGGGAGCGAACTCCCCAAAGGAAATCCCCTGAGGAAATTCAAAGGCCGAACGGTCTTCCAGGGTAATAATGTCCAGGACGAAAGTAGCAACGCCGCCCTGTTCTCGGAGTTAGGTTCGAGCCCTGCTTCGATGGAGGCGGGCAAGGTGCTGGATACGTACGGATCTCAGCCAGGTTTCGCCTGTGAACAGGCCGACGGTAAGCAAGCTTACACTCAGACGACTTTGAAAGGCGCTGAAACTTGGGTTCGATTGCCAAGGGAGCGGTGGCCTAAGTCCTGGGTTGGCAAGTTCAAGGATCCAGTAGTTCGGCTTTTCCTTGCGCTGTACGGACACCCTGATTCGGGGGGCTTCTGGGAGAAGCATTGTGAGCAGAGACTCAAACAAGTGGGTTTTGATCTTCTGTTTCCCTCTTCATGGCCTTCGGTTTTCTTTCATCCTAAGCTTCGCCTACTTTTAGCTGTCTACGTCGATGATTTCAAGATGGCTGGACCTGTTGAGAATATGCAGGAAGGGTGGAAGCTGATCGGGTCCAAGATCGATATGGATAGCCCGACTCCACTTGGAAGATACCTTGGGTGTGAACATGTAGAGAAGAAGAAAGTTCAACTGGGAACAGCTGACCATCCCTTTGCCCACATCTTCGATAAGAGCATTCCTGACCCCGCGGCCAAACCTTCGGTTCCGGCTACACCCCAGGATTATACGGAGTACTTTCCTGATGAAGGTGTTATTGTTCGCCATCATATGCAGCCTCGCAAAGCTAAGTATGCTGTTAGCGCTGCGGAAGCAGACGTCTTGAACATCGGCGACCTGCGGTTGACCGAGCGTCAGCTTCTTGGAAGTACTTCTGCAGAAGAACAATGGGATGATGGTTTCCGGGGGGGTAAAGCTTCGGGACTTTGGACGGGAACCACTTATTTGTTTGATCGTGGTATTGACAAGCATCATGCCGTGGCTGCTGTTAAGCGCATTCGTGACAAGAACACAGCTAAAAAGGAAGCTAGGAAACAGGCTTTCTATGACATCAGCCAGTTGTCTAGTGGCACCGGATGCATGAAACAACCCGTCAACATCATCGAGTATGACATGAAGTCTTTTCTTGAACAAGCTGTACAAAAGTACAAAGACCTTGCTGGCCCCAAGTACCACACCCTTAAGTCAGCCTCTACTCCATTCGCCGACGAGAAGATCGCGAGGCCCATCGATGATGAGGCCGAGGCAAAGGGTGAATTGGCTCCTATCGCTAGCCGAGTTCTGATGAAACTTTTGTTTGCTGCCAGGATGGCTCGTTATGATCTTTTGCGGGCTGTTCAGGGATTGGCTAGCAGAGTTACCAAGTGGTCTGCTGAATGTGACCGGGCTTTACACCGATTGATGTGTTATGTGAATTCCACCCTAGACTTGAAGTTGAGGGGATTCATCGGTGACCCGATTGACCAATGCAAAATATGGTTGTTTGCTGATGCAGATCACGCAGGTGAGCATGATAACAAGAGTACATCAGGATGCTTCGAGGCTTTGGTCGGACCAAACACGTACTTTCCTTTGGCGGCTTACAGCAAGAAGCAAACCTCAATTTCTATTAGTTCTACCGAGTCCGAGGTTGTGTGCGCCAATATAGCTTTGAGGACTGTTGGTTTGCCATCCTCCGCTTTGTGGAGTGTGCTCCTGAAGGCAGGGGGGGGTTCAGACGCATCAAAGCCGTGCGCACCCCGGAAGGGAGATGCCTGTTTGGCCAAATTCCCAGATCAGGATGTTGCTTCTCAGGTACCGAAGACTGGTAGACACGAACTTATTGATTGTCGAGTAGCTGTTCTTTCAGGCGGTGACAGCATCCCTGAACCCGTCGAGCTCGCATCCCATCCTCTTCGAGATGTATGGTTGCTCCGGGGGGACAAATGGTCCAGAACAGAAGAAGCTGTTGCTTGGGAAGAGCTCGAGAATGCCTCCTATATGGTTCCGAAGGATGCTAAAGTCATCTTGTGCCTGTACCGGAAGTCATCATTGGAGTATCGTCGCTCTGCGGAAGCAGAAGCCGAATTGAATTATGAGGCTTACAAGCTCCGTCATGGACTTGGCGACTTCGAGTACACCGATGATGCAAAGATCAGATCCGATCATTCATTGATCATGGCTGCACCACATTGCATGCAACCTGTGATGTTGGAAGATAACCAGGCCACCATTAGGATCATGGAGTCCGGAAGGTCACCGGCATTTAGGCACACAGACAAAACCCAAAGAATCAATCTCGGATGGGTATCGGAACAGTTCAGAAGGAAGCATTATGATCTCGCGTACATTAGTACCTTGTTGCAGTCTGCCGACATTTTGACTAAGCCATTTACCAACATTGACAAATGGAAGAGAGCGATTTTCCTCATTGGCCATGTCTATGTCAAACCATCAAGGCCTGCTTCGCCAATCGTCGTGCCGGACAACCTCGAGAAGAGGATCGAGCCCGAGAACAACGGGGTTCTCATTGAATGGGGTCGTTCTCTCTGCTCGGAAGGGCAGACGATAGTGGTAGCGGTAGCCCATCTGTCGTTCGGGTCACTCATAGCATGGACCTTAACAGTACTCAGACGAGTAGGGACTTGCTCAAGGTTGTCAAACCGTTTGGGTTGACCTGCGCTTTGCGGGGGGTCCTGATGACCGCAAACACTTTGGCAAGCTATGGTCTTCTTTCGTCAACTTAAGCACCGGATTGGATTTGAATAACTGTCGTTACGTCGTGATTGCTCCCTGGGATCATTTCTCATGGAAGATGGATCGAGTTATCAAGTGGTGTTCCAATCATGAGTGTACGAGTTTTGAACTTCTTGATGGCGAAAGATCAGGCAGTTTAGGTCATTGGAGATTGCATACTTCCTACAAGAATTTGCCAATTGATGTGATGAACAATTTTCATGGCTGTAAGCTCAAGAACATTTCAGAGCCACAATTTCCTGTTCGACAAGCTGCTGTTGCGGTACAAGTTACTCTGAGCGAAGATCCTATAGGAAGCGCAGCAGTGATGGCATCCTCTTTGCCCACCGTTTCTCTGGAGGAGCGTCGCCGACGCATCGAGGCTTTCCGCAGGGCTCTTAAGGACCCTGATTGCCTCGCGGAAGCGATGGCCTTTGAGGAACCGGCATATTTTAAGGATGCCTATGGCGTCGTGAAGGAGGCGTACCAGTACAAGCTGGTGGAGCCTGTGGAGTCTGATCCGCCAGAGGCCATTTTCCTCGGCCGTATCCGAAACGGCGAGTGGATTGGTCTGCGGAAGCAGTACCCCTACGCAGGTTTCCCCCTCCTGTACGAGATGTGGCACCGCCATTTCAACAGCCCGGCACATCAGGGAATGCCGATTGAGGGCTTCGAGCTCCACGGCGATTCCCTCCTGACGGAGTGGACAGAACTTGTCAAGGCTTATCTCCGCGACCTGGCTTATGTGGGGCATGCCACAAACGCCGAACGGACTCTCAAGGCTACTGAGCCGTTTGATGTCTGTCACAGAGCGTATGTGCTATCTCAGGAAACCCTGGGCTACCACGAATTGATGCCAGCTGCCACGGCGTTGCTAGACTCGGTGTATACTCCAGCCCTTCGCAGAATCGAGCATCAAGAGCAACCAAGCTCGTATTTCATTATCGGAGGAGATAGCTCTCTCGCCTTGGTGACCCGCGGCGACGGTGGACGCGTCCTGATGAAAGGGACGATGGAACCGTCACTCCGGGAGGAGATGACCAAGGACCTCCGCATGGATGGATGCTCGGTCGTCATGCACTGGGGAAAAGGACTTGGAGACATCGTGTGGCACGTGGAACAAGAGCTCAACCGAGTCCAGAAGTGGAAGAACGGCCAGGAACCGCTCGCACCGGAAGGTGTCGACATTATCATTCAATGGGGTGGTAATGACGTCTATGGCGAGTACGGTTACAAAGGCTTTTCCTTCCACATGCGCAATGCGTGGGTTCGTGTTGATGATGCATTGCATGACACCCTTTCCAATTGGGAGACCAAGGCACGCAAAGCCGGTTCGTCTCTCATCCCGGAAGGGAGTGTCCTCTGTCACGCTGGTGGCTGGCCCCCACAATGGGGAATTCTATGGTCTCCCGGAGGTCTATGACCTGGAGATGGCACGCCATTCCGACGAGGTAAAAGAGCGAGGGATCCGCATTGTCGATCCCCAGGCCCACATCCTTGCAACAGAGCGCTACGATGGGTTTCACATGGAGGCTACCCACGACAACGTGAAGGTTACCACCAGCTGGTTCTTTCACCTTTGCTCTGCAATCATGTTCGAGCGGTGGCTTGTGAAGCACGCAATGGAACTTAAGGCCAATTCGCGTGGCATCCTCTTTCACAACCACTTTCACCTCGGACTCGGCTTGGAAGAGCTCGACATCCCTCCTACCACGGACTTGCTCATTCCGGCGGAAGCTGAGATGGTGACTTTCCCACCTGAGGCACCGCCCGTGCAACGCTTCCCAGAGGAGGAGATTGTCTTGAACCAGCCGATCCTCAGCTTGGAAAAGCTTGACGAGCTTGAGGGTGTGCCGCCCACTGACTATGTCAATGAAGTGACGAAAGAGTCAGAGGAGCTCACGGTCGAAGATATGGTGTCTCGTAACCCGAATCCGGAGGACGAGCACCTCACCGTGGAAGCGGTTGACCCCGGCTCGGAGATGGAACAAATCGTTCGGAAAATGATTGAGTCGGTGAACCTGGTGATGACGGATAAGGAGGCTGAAGAGGTCGCCCAGGAGAAGGGTGTTGCTCCCTACGAGTATGTTGAGCCGAATGTCACAGCTACATCTGTCGTGGATGGTGAGGCAGTCTCTACGATTGCTACTTCCGATATCCCGACGGAGGTCTGGGACTCTGGTCCGATGGCTGTGGACTACGGCGCAGACGATGAAGAGGAGCATCCCCGCGGAAGTGGTGGACCCATCTGGCTTACACCGGATCAGCTGCCTGATGTCAAGGGTCGCATGGGATACTTCCGCCTCAATGAGATGGAGTGTGTTTCGTTGGGCAAGAAGCTGTCGTGGCACTTGCGTGGGCATGCCAAGGACAAGGGATTCCGCACTGTTGAGTTCGATGAAGAGCAGTCTGCAGAGATTGGTGATGTCTTGAAGGTCATTGGGAAGCAGTGGTCCCGCCTGACGGTGATGACCATCATTGACCTGTTGACGTCAGATCACTGTGACAAGGCACGGTTCGAACTCCAGGCGGAAGCCTTGGACGAGGAGACACGATTGGGCCGGGGAACAAACTGGCACTTTACTCGTGTCCGAGCATTCCACGGGCACAATGCCTGCTTGCTCGTCCTCGACAGCGACCCGCTGAAGACCACTGTCAAGCAGTGGGCCCTCGATGACAAATGGATCCCGTCCTATGTTGATCTACCGATCACGGGTCCATACCCTTTCAGGGCAACGGCCTTCGATCTGATGCCAAAGCTGGCGTACCACGCCACATACTGGCGAAATTTCATGAAGATCGTCAACACAGGCCTCATCCCGGGAGGGAAAATGACCTCGAAGGGCAACAGCGGGAGGCCCTTCAACATGTTCGCGATGGAGCCTCAGTGGGAACGCACCTCCAATCAGGGCGTCCGCCCTGGCGCCCAGCTGGAATTTGTGATAGACTTACAGCTCGCCGCATGCGATGGCTGTCGGTTTTTCGAGACAAAAGCTGGAGCGCTGCAGACGCCGGATTGGATCAGCAACCGGGCCATTCTGTATGCATATGACCGGTCGACTCAGGAAATGATCTGGGCGAACCGAGCATACGAACCAGCGCGGAAGGGCTTGGCCCAGCCGTGCAAAGACAAGAGCCTCAACACGCCCATTTATGGCGAGCGGGGTCACCAGGAGCTGGTCGATGCAAACGGCTATTGCTACAACTACCTCGTGGCAGGCCTCGGGTATCGCAACTTCGACACCTGGAAGGACGCCGCTAAGGCATGCAAGGATGTCTATGACCTTGATTTCTACCCAACAAGCATGTGTGGTCTAGACATTCGCATCCCGGAAGGGCATGCCTTGCAGGGCTCAGAGTCATTGTACAAAATGGTGGTTCACGTGGCTCCAAAGCATCCTCATCAAAAATGCAACGATGAGTCGGATTGGCGTCGCCAGGAGAATGTCAGCATTCCTTCTTTCGCTTGCCCGAGCTGCGGTACATCCAACGTCGATGGTGCAATCTGTTGTTATCGATGTGAGTCTCGATTGGAACCGCACTCAGATGTGAGCATGGCCTTGGAGAACACCCGTGCCAAGCAAGTTGCCGCCCGGAAGGGTGAGCCCCTGGATTACAGGGCATTGCAACCAAGCGGGGAGGTCAACTCCAATCGTGCCACGGGCAACAAGAGGGATCGGAGTGCTGGCTCTGGCCCAGCAGCTGTTCGTCAGCAGGCCGCCAAGTACCTTGGAAAGGCCTTGAAGGCGGGTTCTCGCACTGTTGTTGAGCGTCAGTCTCGTGATCCGTTCACGGCCTACAACAATGCAAGATTTGGCATATCCATTACGGGGCTGGAGCAACTCATGATTTTCGCCCGAATGAGGATCGCCAACCCGCCGAGGTCCTGCCAGATGATCCATGACCGCACTGGCTTTGACGGCGCAGCCAAGGTGAGCTTCTCATTCCCACCGGAAGGTGAGGACCTGACACTTACGGACCACTGCTTTGTGGCGTTCGTGGACAGGTTCTACAAGCTTGACGAAGCCGCCTTGTTAGCGTTTGCCGTCCATCGCAACGGCTACGTCATGGACATCCTCGGCTTTAGCGGTCGCACATTGAAGCCGACCGGTCCAGTGGTGCAGATCTTGGCTAGGATTGTGGGATTCTTCCAAGATGAGGTACGGTATGCAGTTGAGCGCGGCGAACAAGTGCCTGAGTTGGTTTTGCCTGCCAATCAGGAACTCCGCGTCCCGGAAGGGCTCGCCTCTCTTGGGGATAGACAGCTGAACGAGCTTCTCATCAACACGAAGTTCGCGAGACAGCTTCCCGGCGCCAAGGGCGTCAATGAGAGGATCGGGTATGCCTTCAGAGAAGGGAGGACGGAGATCAGAGGCAGATCAGCTCAGCCGCCGATTCCAAAGGCGAGGCCAACAACCAGAGCTACCGGTAGTGCACAGCGAGCTGGCTCAGTTCCTCCAAAGCCAAGAGCACGCCCTCGTGACCCTTCCCCGGGAGTGGCAGCTACCCGCCTGCGGCCAACAGAGCCCAGCTATCCGCCACCCGGAAGGGATGTGCCAGGATCGTCAACGGATGCGCCGATGCGTCCGCCCGAGCCAAAGGGGCCTCCACCAACGACCTTGGTTGTCGATTCAAGGGGGAACCCTATTGACCCATCGCAGCCTCGCCGACCTTACTTCACCCGGCATGATGCGCTGCTTTGGGCTCGCCTCAAGGCATCTCGGGACAAGAACGTTCCCAGAGGCATGGAAGACCGTGCAGTACCAGCATTTCATGATTTGAACGACTTCCACCTCCTGGCACCGGAGCACGTGGGCTACTTTCTCTCTGGCTGGAAAGAGACCCAAAACGGGATCCGCCTGTACTGACTGCCGCGTCTTGTGCAGTACAGTAGCAGCTAATTAGTATTTTCGGTTCGTTGTGTTGTCTTCTCCACCCTGACGGGTCGGACATGTAAGAGTAGTTTATCTGCTCCATGTCCATTGTTCTGCCTCCCTGACGGGACGGCCTATGTAAAGGGCCGGAACTGATGGGACATGGCACGTCAGGAGTGTTGAGATCTCTCTAAGAGCTTCGTTGCACCTAAGGTGTAAAATCAGCCTTCTTTTGCATTCGCAACATGTTGGTAGCATACTGTACTTCTACTTTCGCCTCTCTTCGCTGCCCTAAGAGGCGCGGGGGGTGTTTTATTGCTCTTTGTACGTATGACTACGGACATATTGTTGCTTGGCTCAAGACAAAAAGCGTGTGTGCGATTCGTGCTATCGTGCACTATCTATAAACAGTAAGCCTAGTTACTAAGTCCCATGATCCTTTAAGTAGGGCGCAGGTTCTAGGTTCCATGTTCAGGGTCTAGCCGTTTTCAAAGGAGAAAAGGAGGGACCCTTAATGGGGACCCCTACCCTATAATGGGCTATATAATGGGTATATAATGGCTATATTAAGGGTATAGTACCTAGGGGTCCTTATTAAGGGTCCCTCCTGTTCCCCTTACTCTTTAGGGAGCAGAGTAGCGACGAAGACCACACTTGGAGGGTCGGGGGACCAAGTAGGTAGTAAGTAGACTTATAAGTACCCTAAAAGGGAGCCGTAATTGGGGTTATGGTACTTATAAGTCCCTAAAAAAACCAGTTACTAAGTCCCCCGACCCTCCAAGTACCCTAAACCCTAAACCCTATACTCTTATAGAATCCCTATAGATCCCTTTAAAGGAACCCTAAAGGAACCCCTAAGTTCAGTATCGTTTAGGGAGCAGAGCAGCGACGAATGCCACAGTGACGACGCCTCAACCTGAGGAGACGGAGCACGACGCGAATTTGTTGCAGCTCTTGTTCGAGACACCCACGAAGTCGGGGGTCCCAGCTGTCTCAAACAGATATCTGGGTTTGATGGTTTCTTGTATGAGAGTACGGCACCTAATATTTAAGGTACCCAAAAAGGGACCAGTAAGGTAAACCCTGAAGCCTAATCCGTATAAGGGTGGTTATCAAAATTATGGCCCTTTTTTGGGTACCCGACATAATAGGTGCCGTATTATAATAAGGACCCCAAAAAGGGACCATCATTTTGACAACCACCCATCTGGCCTTGATGATTTCTTGCAACTCTGAAAAATGGGCAGATATGTGAGGGGTTCCCTAAATCCATAAACATTCCTAAACCCTAAACGTAGGCCCCAAATCCTGAATTGAGATGCCTGCTGTTCTGCTTACTACAAAGGCCAAGAAGTTCTTGATGCTGCCTTTGGGAATGGCTGTGAGCTCTTGAAGAGGTTTGGGTTTGGTGGGTGGGTTGGGGTTTAGGGTTTAGGGCTAGGTGTGGATGGATAACTATATCGGAGGGTTTTCGAATCCTGAAGATGTTGTTTTAGGGTCAAGGGCCAAGCCTTGACACGTGAGGCCAAAGCATTGAATGCCGAAACTAACCCTAAATCCTAGCCCTAGGTGCAGCATGCCACGGACAATCTGCATCATGGCCAAGCTATAATTGGGGTCCAGAGCTCCAGTTAAATATAGGGCTTAGGTTCATCATTCACTGTAAACTACCACAAGTCCTTGAAGCTGGGGGTCCGGCTGCGTTGCAAGACGCACCGGTGGCCAACGCGGCAATGCATGCGGACAACGCGTTGGCAGAGATGCTTCATGGAGGTTTCCGCAGAGGAGCTCTGCGCCGAGCACTCCTTGCACAGCGCTTCAACAGCTAGTGTACATCGTGAGTCTGTTCCGCGACTGATCACGCTGTGACATCTGCAGCGTCTGTAATGAGATCTGCGGGGTTTAATGATGCTTGTCCATACACCTGCCAACAGTGGATCTTCCTGTGTTCATTCGGTCGTGGAGTACTACAGCAGGGGTTAGTCATTACCTATACTATCTTGGGGGTTCCTTATTGTAACTATAGTATACTTGACCCCAAAACCCTATTCTAATTGTTAAGGCCCCTGTATTTCTCTGGGGCTGCTTTCGCAACGCCCACAGCCCTGAGACCTCCAACTCATCATTCCTGAAGCCGCCAGGGAACCCACACCCTACAGAAAGCTGGAACATGGATCTAGGCTGGGATTCCCCATACTTTACCTTACCGGCACGAGGCTAGTGATATTCCAACTTTCTTGTCTTCTGCTTTAGACCTGAACTCGACACCTTTTGACTTTCTTCCCCTACTCCCCAACAACCGTAGGCCCTAGAGCCCCCATGCGCAGGCTGCGATACATCATCATTGAGGCCTTCGCTGCCTTCCGGCAAGCATCCGCAGGCCTCTTCCTTTCTGAGAGCTGGGGGGTGTGTGCGTGTTGGGTTTGAGGTTTTTGCGGTAACAGTTCCGGCGTACCGGGGTTCAGAGCTGTACGGATTTGGGTTGAGGGGTGCGGCGTATCGTGGGCTTACATCTTGAGAGTTTCCGCGCCTAGATGTTGAGGTGTCGGTCTGTCTGCGCTGGGGTAGGTTGGGACAATGGCCAGCGCATACAGCAAACCCTCAAACCTAGTCCACGTAGCATGCTCCCTGCTTCTTGCCTTTTGTTGCTTCAGGCCCTCGCTTGTGTCAGGTCAGATTGATACTTATTGACATCTCAATTGAATAAGGGTTGGGCCGCGGTTTTCTTCGGGGAAGTTTGTAGCTTGCGAGATGCGTGCCCACAGCGTGATTTTGTGCTAGACTGCAAGGGCAAACCGCTTGGTTATTCTGGCATGCTGGCACAGTTCCGGCGCTGCCTCGTTGTGTATGCTGGCCTGTCACCCAGCGTGGCAAGTCGGTTCACCTTGCACTCGCTAAAGACCACGCTCCTGGCCTGGTCATCACAGGTCGAGGTACCGGAGGTGCTCCGGGAGGCACAGGGGCATCACAGATCGGCAACCGTCTCTGCCTGTGTGAAGCGTTACTCTCGTGATGACATCAATCCTCAACTAAGTTGCCAGCGCAAGGTGGTCGCCAAACTGCGCGATGGTTGGCGCCCTTATGTGCCTGTGGACCGAGGCCTCGGCCGTGTGGATGCCGCGGTGTTTGAAGCGCACGTGCCCGCGCTTCCGCGAGTGGGACAGGATGCAGAGCCTGGCGAGCTGCCTTCCGACACAGAGGCGGAGTCGGATGCCGAAGTTGCCGCCGCCCCCGCAAGTGATTCTGAGCATGGGGAGTTCGAGAGCGACTCTGATGCTAGCGTGGCTAGCGCGGCCCCTAGCCTCGCAGATCTGGCTGACTTGGAAGGCAGCTGGCTTCTGAATACAGTTTCCGGCTGCGCTCATAAGTCCGTGTGGTGCAGCGAGCTTGAGTCATGGGTCCTGGCGTGTCGGCCGAGTTTACAGCTTGGAAAGCAGTATGAGCACTGGACGTGCAACCCATGCTTTCATGGTTTCAAGTCATGCGGCCATTCGGGCTGTTGGAGTTCGTGCTGAGGCAGCCCAAGCGCTTATTTTATTATAAAGTGACGCTCTGCCCTTTGGGGGCCGGTCACTTCGCAGGGGCTTTGGGCCTTTATGCTTTGCTTGTGGTACAGTTGTTTGTGTTGCTGCGCGCAGCCCTTTGGGGGCCTGTCATGTCGCAGGGGCTTTGGGCCTTTCTGCTGCGTTTTCTTGTTTGAGCTTTGGGCTCTTGTCGGTGATCGGTATCTCAGCAGGGGCTTTGGGCCTTGCTGCTTTCCTATTCTCGCAGGAGATGCAGGCATTTGTCACTACCCATGGCCTTGTTCGGCGGTCCAGCATCTGCGTGCTTTGGCTCGCTAGTCAGTGTGTGCGTACATCCGCTCTGCGTTGTTCCCTTGCTTGCTTTGCGCTCTTTGTCATGCCTGCGAGCAGTGCAGCCTCGTGGCGTACCACCATGTTGCAAGCCGGGGTGCAGGAGTCTACTGCTGATGCAATTATCCGGCTTGGCTATGACGAGGAGGGCTTGTTCCGTGCAGCTTTTGTTGATCAGAATGCCTTTGAGGGTTGGCTGAACAAGCTGCGTCACAAACTTGGCGATGCAGATTTGACTGCGCTCAGCGATGAGGATTGGGGCACTCACCCTCATGCTGCCCGCCTGCGTTTGTTATGGCAGTCCGGGCTGCCCGCACAGCAGCCGCCTTCTGCTTCGGCTACACCGGCTGCATTGGCTTTGGTCCCTGCCGGTTCCATTCCAGGGGCAGGAACTACTGGGAAGAACCGGTGGCTTGTAAATGGTTAACATACTCTACGAGGTTAGCTATCTGTTTACAAACAAATGTAAAGGGTTAAGTTGGTTTAGCTATAGGGGTTAGCATAGCTTAGAAAAGGGGGTTAGTCTAAGTAACATAAAGGGGTCCCTTATACGTCTAAACCTTCCAAGCCCTGAACATAAAAGCCTCAAACCCTAAACCCGAACCCTGCAAAACAGAAGTCTTTTTTTGCATGCCGGTCGTTCACGGTCTTCCGGCTGGAGAAACTCGTTTAAGGCCGTAGCCTGAGAACGGCTGCATTTCAGCAGATATATAATATACATGGGATGCCGTAGCCTTCTGCATCCCATTCTGCATGCCTGCAGCAAAAGGGGCCGTAGCCTGGAAGAAAGCTTGCTTTCAGCTTGCTGAGTTTTCAGACTCCTCTTCCTCATGCTCCTCTTCCTCAGCCACTTCCTGCTGGGAATTCCAGTTGTCTTCATACTCTGGAGAGGACTGCTCGGTCACGGTAGGGAGAGCATGCTCGTCCCCGGACTCCACGATATTCATATATTCGTACTCCCTCCATGCCCTTCTGTAGTTGCTGCGACGGACATCCCTCTCGTTGTACCACTTGATTGTGCATTTTGCACACCAGTGGTTCAGGTGTGCATTTTTCACTCTGCAGCAGCTGGGGTCACCGCATTCCGTGCATGGTCCTGCACACGGGTCCATCCTCAAACGGCGGCTGCAGGCTCCTCCC